ATTAAAAGTTGTTGTGCATGTTGCGCATTATTTATTTCCTCAGCATCAATAGTTGATTAAAAACAATTTATACACATTGTTCCGTACGATATTGATATATATTCAACATCTATAATGACCAAATGAAAGGTGAACGATTGAATAATAAAAGTGGTAAATAATTATCTTTTCAATGTTGAAGCGCGGCACGACACCAGTTATCATTCGTACGTCATCGAATATAAGATGTTAAATATCTATATTATTGTATCGATTGAAAATTTCATATTTTTCAATAAAAATACAATGAAGAATCCGTAATCGTCGCAAAAGCTTCATCACTCTATACGAATAATTTAATACTTGTAATCGAATGAGAAAATGTATTAATTTATATTGATGAAATGTATAATCGACTTAAAGTATCGACTTGATGATATGATGGAATATTTGGTAGTTAAATAATGGCAACGGAATCGTTATTTAAATAAACGACGATCGATTTTTCCACATGAATTTCCGCGAGATCAAGTTCACGGCAAGAAGGCACGAGAGGTTGTTGACAATGGGTCAGCCACCGATAAGCGCGAGATTCGCTTCGCGGTAACCTGCGCGTGGATACTTTATTACAGCGTTCAGCTCGGAAACTTGGGTGATTTATATTATTCGCAAAATGCGTCATCCATTGCTCACCTCAGGCTCGAAGCGTATGCACTCGCGTTCATTGATCTTGTCCATCCAGTCATCCAGTAATGAGGAAGCGTTGTTTTGATATCTATCGCTTATCGTTCAAGTCTGCCTAAGGGATTTTCTCCGACACGCGCGGAAAAAATAACTCGTGACGCTATACGTACTCTCGGTTGATAAACTTGACTTTCGTCGCATTTTGGCCGAGTTTATGCGTAACGTTTATTGATATCTGCCATTATGAATTCGACAGATTCGTAAGTTGAGTTATCCGTTTGAACTTGTTTTCGGAATAAGGCAAAACTGCGCGAATCTCAGCAAAGTATCCGACAATTTTGCTTTTCCTCGATCAGTTGTTCAATTCTTTTGAATAGGCAGAAAAACGTTCAATGAATGTACGAATTGATCGATGTAAGACGAGAACAATATCTCCAATTGATCAAGAAGTGGTTGTCTATGTTATATCTCTAGGTATTTTCAAGAAATAGTAAATGAAGAGGTCTTTTGTTGACGTTTTATCGAACTTTACTATCGGTATTATTTTATAAAAATTATAGCATGACTACACATACTGTCCTATCAAAATATTAAGTTAAACAATTGTTGCTAGTAAGATTAGCAGTATGACTTCTTCAAGCTTAAAAATCGACACAAAAATTGTTTTTATTTTTGAAATACTATCGAATTCAGACTGCGTATTATACAGATACGAGCGAGTCATGTGATATTGTTTATCGTAGCCTCCGAGTTGTGAACCATTGTGTGCTGCGAACAATAAATTAATAAGTTTTACGCGATTGATGCGCTTGAAAAAAAAAATTGAGACATACCGAGCGCACGTAAGCGTGCCTATAAATTATGTACGGCTATACTCGACGAGAAGACGAGTTGGACAAATGAACTACTAATATAGTCAACATAAAATAATATGCAAACAGTTGAAAACTCACAGGAAGAAATGTAAGAGTGGGTAGCGCGAAAGGGGAGCTAGACCGTACAATACGCGTACCGAGCAAGAGTCGACTAAGAGTCGAGGGGGAGCAAGCATCGACCGGCGGACGAATCGGTCACGAAAGCCGCTCTGCAGATCGTCGAGTATATCTCGATGCGTCGGCTTTTCGCCGGGGGCAGTCAGCGCCGAGAACAATGGGAAATGAGTGGGCGCCGATCGCGGGTTTTCGCGTGCAGAGCCGAGGCTGCGAGTACAAGCATAGGTATGCCGATGCGAAATATTTGAAAAGAGAGCGCGAGCGCGAGCGAGAGAAAGATAATGCGGCATGCGCGGGCAGCAGCAGCGGCTAATATTAGCCGCTGCAGAGCATACGCGAGCAAGCTTCCTACTTATTCTTGGCCGTAATGTCGGCCGCAGCAGCAGCAGCTGTGTATTCGCCCAGAGTCAAGGTCAGCCGCGAGTATTATAGGGCGGCGAACATTTTCGCTCGTCGTTACGTAGCAGCTACGACAACGCGAGCGCGCATAAATCTTTTACGCGCTCGCAGCTCGATTAACATCGCTGCGCCATTTCTTTACATCGATCTGTTTTCTAGGGTCATTGTAGCACTTCCATTGGATCTTTTATCAAGTTCGTGGATTACCTTGACTCGTTCGCATCAAAGAGAAAAATTTATCCGCCCCAAAAGTCGAAGAGACGAGTATCGCGTTGTAGTCAGTCGCTATTTCGCTTACGACAACTGGCAGCGCCGGCAATGCGCGCACGGTTCGAGCAATAATAGGCGAAGTAACCGCGTCTCTCTATTTTGCTATATTCGTGTATCACTTATAAACGTGAACGCGCAGTTCGCGACACGCGCCGACAGAGTTAACCGCGTGCACCAAGAAAATTGTAAATCCATTATGCAAGCCATAAAGTACAACAGCTTCCTATCAGCCTTCGCAATCTCTTTTGTTCGATTTTCGCCGATATCATTGTTTCGAGGCGTGAAGTGTCGAATATACCTTATCACGCGCATCCTTTACCTCATTTTGATTTTACACGCCATATCGTTGACGAGTGAAAGCTGAAGGCTTATAAATTTCGATATCGTAATACATCAGTAAGGAAATTATTCAATCAATAACGGCTGCGATATTTCTTTTTTCACTTTGTTATCATTCGGTCCATCGGATCCTTCAGCTACATTAACATTTGCTAACTCAATCTTAAAGGTTGACAATCTTTTTTAATGCTCATAATGTTCATTTTTCTCCATATGTTGCGATATGCGAAGGGTGTCCAATCTTGATAGTTTTATCGACATATATTATAGAGTAAGCGTGTGATCCCTCACCAATCGCGCACTTTCTAATGTTGATCGGGATGCAGTCATTGGCCTGGATTCGACTTAATGAAATAAAATAACTAATAAAATAACGCTATGAGATTAGCCAATAAATTATTTGAAGAGTTTTATTACGTTAGTTTGTATATTGCGGTCAGCTCAAAGGATAGCACAAGTATGGCAAGTCATAATGTATAAATCTGTTTGCAACCAAACCATTGAAATCATTCTAAAACCACATCAAGCAATATCCACTAATGAAAAATCCGAGCCTATGTTAATTGAATTATGAAATAGATGCAATTCATTAATACAAAACCAGAGCTTTCTTTAAGGGAACGCAATAAAAGAATCGTGTAAACCATTTGAGAATGTCGAATTTCATCAACGATTAAGCTTGAGCTCAATCGAAACGCGCCTTTCGTCCAAATACACTTTTGAAAAAAACAAAAAGAAGGTCGGGGGGGAGCGATAAAAAAGCGTGTCTCGCGGTCGGGTGGACAAGTCGTATTTCCCGATCGGTCAACGTCCAAGTAGAAGATTAATAATTTCCATTTGACTCGATGGTAATGTGCGGTATTGCGCGAGCGCACATAATAATAACGCGGCCTGTGCGCGCGAGCGCTGCTCTCTCTCTCTCTCTCTCTCTCTCTCTCGCGCGCGCACGCACGCGTATTTACGCGGCTGTAGCAGCGGAAAAAGAGGGTCATTACGCGTAGGTATAACGACATCGAGCGCTGTCACTGCGCGAGCTACGTCAGCGACCGATTAACATTTTATCGCGATCGGAAAGCGTATATGCGCGATTGACCGACAGATAGAGAATCAATCATTCGCAGGCCTCTCCTCTACTCCTCCCGTACTACGTATGATCGACCGTCTAGCCGCGTACATTCCTTCGTTCGATTTCACGCGGATCAACCCTGAACATTTGATTTTTACGCGTTTCTCCGATCATCCACGTATTTGCACTCCTATCGGCGGCAATCTTTTGAAAATATAACGCGTGGCAAATGATTGTTGTAAAATCGATTTGATTGCTGGATGGGTCACTCGTCGATCGTTCGAATTTCTTTACTCCACTTTCTTTACCTTCGTTCTATATATTTTTTAACAACAGTGAAAAAAATTAAGGATTATCTTAATTTGAATAAAGCAACTTTTGTGAAAACGTGAACGAAATCCACCGAGCGACCGAGAGAAAAAGTTGATTTATGTATCTTGAAGAATAATGGTCGGCTTTGCTGGGCTGTTGCATAAAAAAATTGGAATATTAGCCTGAGTTTTGTAGTTCTGTACAAGGTGTTGATATGATTGTACAGGCCAAACAAAATCAATAGCGTTAATTTGCTGGCTAAAGCATGCAACATTATGCAAGGAGTCGTAGTGGCTAAGTGGCCGCCTAGATTTTTGCATAAAAAGTGCTAATGGTACTACAGTACGCTTCAAGAAAGTACACGTCTCTAGCTGCGATAAACAATTTTTTTTTATTGCTTCGAGTAAAGCCCTGTACTCTATAACAGATATTTCGCTGGAGAGGCCGGCATAATCACAGCGGAGCGGGTTTTTTTTTCTGCTGCGCACACCTCTCGACAATTTTTTTTTTCGCTCTGCCGGGAGCTTGGTAGCGCTTGATAGTCTGGCCAGCGGCTACAGCGGCATGCGGCATCCACAATAAAAGTAATATGAATGAAGTGCGGTCAGTGGTGAGTGCGCGTAAACACGCATATGCACGCGTTATTAGACTCGCACTGCGAGTGTCAGCCCACGGCTAAGCCGTGCACGCGAGCGAGCGGGCAAATGTCATAATCGCTCGTAACTCGCGTTTCTCCGCGCGATTCGTGGGATTTCTACCCACCGCTACCAGTTTTCATGTCCTTGGCCTATATCCGGACTGGCAGCCGCGGCAGCGTGCGCTCTCTCGCCAAGCGGAATCCGAGAACCGGCGCACCGCTCACTTGCCTTTTCTATTTTATTCAATCCACGAGCCTCGCCAATCCATTTCACTTTCATCCGCTTTTCATGACGATCCTGCCAGATAAGGCTCGACCGAGCGATGCCGCTTGCCCTGCTCGCCATTCAACATCAGTCAACGCGTTCTCAAACCAATCTCGTTATTTCAACAACCAGTTACCGGATTTTTTATGGTTCAAGGAAAATCCAGCACTTCGTGGGCTCCGCTGGAATGCAAATCGCTCGATGTATTCGTCTGAATTCCTTTTTTTTCTAGGAATCTCGTGCCAATGCTCGCAATTCATAGTGGGCGCTACAGGTCGAAAGACGGAACGAGACCGGTACGAGCATTCGGATAACGACCAACGTCCAAAACTCGAAAACAGCTCGAAAGCAGCTGAAGCAGCTGTCGAGATGGCAAGGAAATGCGTACGTGCTAGAGGGTAAGAGAAGTCTCGAATCGAACCAACTGTGCAATTTAGAGACGTTACACGTAAATTGCAATGAGGAGCGTAGAACAAAAAGTAGATGCGAATTGAGTAGAACGATAATTGCGTGGCGCCGATCGCGAAAGATCGGCAAGGTGATTTCCCTTTCCGCGGGAAATCCTCGGTGGCTCGGTGCGCTGGAGCACGTCGCCAATTGCCCAACTGGCGGCTTCGCTCTCCAACTCTTACCGCTTTAATTCATAAGAATTAAAGGGGCATTATCGGCGCACTCTCCACTTGGGGGATTACTTAATCGAAAGTGAGCAGCTAGCGCAAAGCTCCACCGAGCAACTGGGTCGACCAAGTTCTGCGCGCCGGTCGACTGCCTTGCTGCGTTTGGTATACTCGCTTCCAGATACCCTACGCCCACTCTTCCTTCATTACACTTTCTCTCCTTTTATCATTTTTCGCGCTTACTTATTACAACGCTCCGTTTCCCTTCACCTTCTTTTTATTTTATCCTGTTTTTGCATTACCTGCTTTACACTAGTTTGTTTCATTTCAATTCTCCGTGGCCTTTTTCCACTTTCGGTCTGCCGATACCTATACTGGAATTCCGATCAGTCGATCAGTACGAAAATTTAATATCCATATGAATTACTCTAAGCTACATGAGAACAACATAACCGTAATTTACGTTTTCTTTCAGAATTATTTCTTCAATTTTTCCGCAATGTTATACTCCAGACCAAATGCTTTCCGCCGCTTGCTTGCACAATAACGGCTTTCAATTGTAGATTATTTATTCGAATGGATTATTTGCCGAGAATTGTTTAAATTTATTACTTATTATTTTTAATTATGCATAATAACTCTCCACAAGGTAAACTTCAAAAGCAGAGCGACTTACTAGTTACCGAGTTTTTCTTTCATTTGCAACTAGATGATTTCCGATAATTTTATTCGGTAAACATTTAGCTTCGAATCAGAGAGGATACATTTCGTCGATGCGCAGAAAATTACGCCTTCATTCCTGTGTATACACACAGCAGATAGAAAGGACTTTGGTGCCAGTTTTCTTTCATCCATATTGACGCCTAATATTGACAACGTCATTTAGAGGATTATAAGATTATTACAAGTTTTTCGAAAAGCAAAAAGAGAATGTCGCTTTTAAATTACAAATGGATTGTCATTTATCAATACGTACTATTCGACATCGTTACTGCAGTCCATTTTCGTGGCCGTGATATAACGTACAGAAAGCGACGGTCTTTATAAGGAAGATGAACGTTAAGCATCGACGGCGCAATCAATTTATCTATTGATGAATAGCGTAAAGATGAAAAGCGCTTAGAACGTGCGTGAAACTCTAATGAGCGCTCGTAATCTGATTTTATGAGCTTTTGGTATGCTGTAGACGTGAACCGATTTTACTTCTGCTATCGCTAATGCGTTAATGCATCTACGATAGAATTACGAAATAAATTTCAGCTTCGTCATCGCTTTTTTAAGACTACCACTTATTTTGTGATTACTGTCATAGTTCTGATTTGAGCAAAGATTCGATTCGCCGGATGACGTACCGATCAACGATTGAAAATACAGCGGACTGGAATTGTTAATTAATAGCTGTAAATAGCATATGCAATACTTTCGTCTTCGTTCTTGTTGCACTTGGTCTAGTCAACGATGTTTATTACGTTTATAGCCAGCGACATTGTTCAAATTACTTGGCAACAAGTAATTGGTGCTTCTTCGTATTTCACATTCTGAAAGGTTGTACGCAGATTTTCATTTTTCTCGACGATCAATTGTGTACAGCAAGAGCTGTTATTTTGGAACGATCGGAACGATTATTTCGATTTGTGGGCAGGTTTTAACAAAGAATGTCGTCGATAAAACAACTTTTAGCGATAAAGCTGATCGTTTTGAAATCGCGCGGCACAATCGTATAGATTAAGAAACGTTGGTGATTCGTCGTTCCGCCTGTAGGCAGTCATCTATGCACTTGGACGACGTCGGCTTCTGGCAACGAGCCCAGCTTCAAATACTGCTTGGTGTATAATTAAAAAAGTTGTGCGTCGAGGATGGGTTTGGAGCTCGAGCGAACTTTTGCGCGTCCTCCACGATCGATCGCATTCGCTTCGTGCCGTTTAAAATGGAAGCCCTTGCGCCTAATCTCATTTTCGCCATAGACTCATATTCGAAAGGCTAGTCCGTTCTCTATGATTGTTATATGATTTGAGTTTACCACACATTGTAACCGTATTAGTAAGGGTACCTGCTAAAATTTATGACTAGGTGAAATTTTATTGATTTGAATAATATTCCAGAGGAGATAATAATAAGTGAATGTCTGCCCAGATAAAGTGCAACCAAACTGTCCAAGAGGAAAATCAAAATCAAGCAATGTTTTGTAAAATCATCGCTCCGCGAGGTCTCACTGTGTTGGAAGCCTAGAAGAGCGTTGACTCAAACGCGAGGCGGGGGCTTGAGCAATAATCCTCACGGCAAAAGTGCGATGATCTACAAGAAAACTCATTCGAGCGGACAATAGACGCGATATCGGTAAGGTGTCTTTCCTCGCGGGCTCTGCGTTAATCAATCAAACAGTCATGTGAACAGGGAAAATCAGATCTTTTTTGTCGATAGTCGCGTCTACACGGAAAGCAAGAAACAGCAGCAGCAGCAGCAGCAGCAGCAGCAGCAGCAGCAGCAGCAGCAGCAGCAGCAGCAGCAGCAGGCCGTTGACTCGCGAATTGAGTAACGCAATTTTCTGCGTCGTACAACGGAGCGTTTACATACACAGGCAGACGCGAATAACGGAGCACGAGAGAGAGAGAGAGAGAGAGAGAGAGAGAGAGAAACGAAGAGAGCAAAGAGAAGGATGAAACCAGGCTACGACCTTGGCCTTCGTTTCCAAGTGGCGCGCGCGTACGATCGTGCTCATAATACACTCTCAACGACTGTCGCCCGAAGCCTAATGACTGCGCGTACGTATGTAGTACCGGCCCCCGCGAACATGTATGTGAACTTTCGGACTTTTCTCGAACCAATTGCACTCGTCTTTTATTGCTTAGCTTTGCGAGCCCACTTCCGATGCTCTTGATCGCTTAATTTTCTCCGACATACCAATTTTATTTATGATTTGTATTTACATTATCGAACATTCGTATGAACTGCGAAAGACTACGGAGCAAGCATTCGCGCGAAAGTCTATTTATAGAGAACTAGTTACTGCTTGAATCATTGTGCACCGATTCTCACTGAATTTATTTTCAATTAATCTCATCGTTAACAACCGAATACAATAAAAATTATATTGTTTCTCTGAATTTGGAGTTGAGCCAAAAAAAAATATTTAATCGACGATTCAACAACAGCTAAAATTACGCACCTCGTCAGTGGATAACTTGTCTTTATATTATACAATATTCATAACTATAAAAAGAGTCGTTCCATTTATATAATGGTCGATTCAGTGAGAATCAGTTTAACGTAGTACGCATCAATGATTCAAAGCGAAACAGCAACAACGAAGAAAGAATGACGATGACGCGTGAAGCTGCACGTGATGTAACGGGATTCGCATCATTACACGCCATGAAAATCGGATACAAATGTACTCGTGGGACAATTCGATTTTCCCCTTGTTCTTACTTGCAACATTTTTTAAATATTTTAGCGATTGATGAATGATTTATAATACATTATCATTTAATTTTAAATATAAATATTTTTCTCAAACTGGAATCGTTATTTTTTTGTTCTCTTTCATTGATGATAAAACATTTTAAGTTTTCGATTCTAAGATTTCTAAAAGTTTGAATAGTGAATCAAATGCTACAGTCATCCATTATTTCAAGTAATGGTATAGATGTACCACCGCCATTTAATTCATACGATACAACTTTTTCAAATTGTGTTCTCCATCGATAACATGCACTGCCTACGCGGTCGATATAACACGCGTATTCAAGATAGTTATCCAACTCAAGTTGAAATTAAAAAAAATAATAACACGAATGTAACATCCGGATAATTTCCACGAAAATGTCTGGACTCATTGCGGAGTAATAATATTCAATATGGAGGAAAATAATTGTTTGAAAAAAATGAGTTGGTTACCATACAGGAAAGGGAATCCAGCAATGAGCGCCGGAACGGCATGAATTTGGAATGAAGAAGGGCTTGCTGCTCGAATGTTTTGCCAAAGTGCCAAGCTTATTTCACAAGAGTCGTCGCGGTGGCTCCGCGATAGAGGGAGGGCGAGTGCCACTGGCTGTCGTCTTAATATAACGAGTAAATCCGTAGAAAATGTTGCATCAGGCGTTAAAAGAGAGCTGGATGCAGGCGATAAGGCGAATCACGAGCAGACGCTACTGCGCCGTGCCGCCCGTAGCGACGCGAAATTGAGCAAGAATTTTTTAGACCACCAATTGCACTGCCACCTCTTCAATTTGATCGTCTGCCGCTAATTACTTTGGTCTTGTCGCGTTTCTCCGCTTGATTACACTGGTGTTTTGCACGTCGAAACGCCGTTTCATAAGTACGCTCGATTTAATTGAGGAAGATAAACGAGCATCGAGCGATTGCTCGATTGGTCGGTCCAAATGCACGTGCTACTGATTATTTGCGCGTGACAGGACCGCAGAAAACGGCGCGCTCCGCAATCCGAAACCACGCGGCCTCTGCGAGCCGATGGCCTTTTGTTGTGCGCCGATACCAATACCTATGGGAGCTAATTTGCTCTCGAGTAATCTATAAGCGTGAAATTAATTTGCTCTCTTATCTAAAGACTCTTGCTTTCATTGCTTGTGCAACAGTTGTCAGTCATGCTTTCAGCCGCGCTCGCTCACTCGCGGGTTACGCTTGATTCGCCTTCCAACGTATCGGCTCCCCCTTTCTAATGGCACCCGCGATCAATTGAAATATTAAAGGGAAGTCGCCTACTGAACAATGAACGGCCAACTATCGGGTTTCGCGAGAGTCGCCGTACTTTTATTCGGCGCGAGCACGCGTCCTGAGCCGCTCACGCCTCGAAACGAGCCATTGTGCGCGCGCGGCGCGCGCCACCAGATAATAAGTCATTTCGGCCGGAAACTCACCTAGCGAGGACAGCAGCAAAAAACCAGAAGAAAAGGCAGGATAAAAAGAATGAAACAAGAAACAGAGGCTCGCGCTGAGAAAGTGGGAAAAAAAGATAACCCAGTCTGATATTGTGCCGAGATGACGTAACGCCGGTGCGGCGGGAAAGTGTAACGTGGAGTCTGGAAAACTGCGCGACGCCGCCGTGGATCACAATAATTTGCGCTCTTTTCATTACTACGTCGAGGCTCATTCGTCCGAGCGACAGGCAGCTCTCATTTCATGACTGGCACGACGACCATTTCAGCTCAGCAATTTGCCGCTTGCGCGCTCTCCTGCGTTACGTCCTTTAGATCGGATTATCCACTCGTTCGATGCTCGGCAGGTTGCCGAGGACTCGCGCGCAAGGCGCTAAGGGTGCCTGCTGGACACGAGGTCGGTTTTCATCCGCTCGCGGGTACCGTCCCCGAGTACAGCGTGGTACGGCGAGGACGCAACGACCGTAGCAGGCTTTTCGCGTAAGAGTTGGAGCGCAATAAAAAGAAACGGCGATCGATCTACAGATCATTGCGTATCAAATTCAGTTGAAACTGCACGGATACAGGATGAAATGCAGTTTTTCGCAAATAACTTTCTGCCGGCAAATGCGAGCAAAAAGCGAGTGGAAGCAATCAACATTGCGATTGAAACTATCGGCGGCCATTAATGGCGTTGACGTTGATTCAAGGAAAGCGAATGTCATGTTCGTCATGCCGAAATTTCAAGCCTTCTCGCTGCCCCACGTAATTGCGTGCTCTAGAAAAAAAAACAGAAAGAGCAAGACAACGCGCTTATCGTAAAGCGGCACGTCGGAAAGCAGCTTTCCGAGTGAGAAAGACCGACCGAAGGAGAGGTGAGAAAGGAAGAGGCAGAAGAAAAGGACTCGGCGAGAAGAAGGGCCAGCGGTGCAGGTGAGAGCGAAGAGGAAGTTGGTTCTCTGCTTGGCGCTGGCGGTGCGATGGACAACTGGCTGTAAAAAGAAGCGCGTGTACACGTGCGATAGCGCAAACGGGAGTGAATGAGCGTGTAAGCAAAGTCCTGGCCTCGTAATGAAAGTGAAATCGAGGGCGCAGCTACACTGACCCCCACCAAGCCTCGCGCTCGCGCGTTCACGTACGTACGCGTGCGTACACAGGTACATAGCGCACAGGGACACCTTTGAGCATGGGAAAAACCATTGGAATTGCATATTTGCTTCCGATACCTCATTCCGCTTTGGCGCTCGCTCACGACAATCACCACAGACAATAAGTTTTCTTCGTTTATATTTTAAATGGCTCGTCGAGAGGCCTTACTTTTTCATGACTTCCAACGAATCTGCGTCATATACATTTTCTAATTTTACGGTTGTTCCGTAAATATATAAAAACAACTGTATTAATACAGAGCTTGCATTATTACAAATTACATTATTGGAAATTTAATTTGTTGTAATGAAATGGAAAAGTCCAATTAATCCACGCAACCTTACATTTTATCACTCATGAGATTTATTATCTTTTTTCGGTCTAAGCTCTTATCAAGCTTGACACACATTTCTTGGACTTCCAGAAAAGCTCTTCCTTCGAAATGAATCTCTTCATTAAATATCTGTTCGTTTTATCTACGAAGCTGAAAAGTTAAATAAACTGAAGATAAAAGTCTTAAATGGCTTGTCTTGGTTAAAAAAGATCGGGTCGTGGATTCCCATTAGCAACAATATTAGAAGTGTCATTGAAATTATCATGAGACATCTTCATTTTTTAATATGTCTTTGAACTGTCAGGAATGGTCGAAAAAATCATGATAACAGTATTTCATAATCTATACAAGTACTTTTAAAAGATGTTTCTCATCCCATAAATTAACGTTTAAAGGCGCGATGGCAATTGTTCTCCAAAAATTACTTTGACTAAGAGCTTTGACACAGATGGAAGTATGCACATAAAGGTAAAGAAAAAGGCACAAATCAAAGAAGGCTGAGAGAAGAAGAGAGAGGTATATTCTCGGTTGATCGCGCAGCGGAAACTTTCACTTTTTTCAGTGTTTGCCTCCCATTGGAGGGAGAACTTTAGGACGAGACCACAGCCACATTGGTAGATTTTTTCATTCGACAATATTATTTTATTTTTCATTCTTTTGTCCAACAATCTACCGTTGGTTAGTCCATATTATGGCTTCGCGTATGTCATATTTATTGGTCGCTATTGCCACTTGCTAGCTACAAGATTTTTATGAATTTAGTTGAATGTAACAAATGAATAAGTATTATCGTCATTTAGTTAGTATTTATATGCATATTACACATAGTTTATACATCGTATTTTAAAATGATTGATATTTGCAGTTTATAGTACAATGCGTAAAGTATGCACCATGTGTGTACTCCCGAGTTACGTGTACTTGTTTTACGCACACCCCCGTGAAAGGGTGTTACGCTCTCAGCAGACGATACAGAACCGCCTTTATTGTCTAAAAATAAAGTATCTCACGAATGCGTGATGCGCTATTGGTAGTTTTAGGAAAGGTGCATCACACACGTGCAAGGTACTGTACTCTCAGGCTATATGTAGTGTGAGGAAGAATATACATTACAGACATTTATACATGTTTTTAATTCTCAATATCCTATATGTGACAGATAAAATTCTCTTGTCATAATCAGGGAAATCAGATTGTGTATAGAAACAGAGCATTTACGAATGTTTTCATGATTTTAAAATCAGCTGTGTAATATTGTAATTAAAAAAACTTTCTAAAAAATATATTTCATATAATCTCAGCTAATTAAGTTAGAACTTATTTTTATACGTATTAAAATGGTATCAGTGTCTACCTTTGTTCAATCACTTCATCCTTTTGTTTGCAGTTCAAGCCTTATTGCGTTTATTGAAGTTTTAAATTGTTGGTTGATTTTAATTTCGATTAACGGAATTTTGGGTCCGTTACAGCAAATTGATCCAAAATTTTTCATCAAATTAATAATTACATTGCTAGATGTGAGGAGACATTAAACCTCTATGGAATATTCTTTTATAAACTGTCATCTGCATAGAAATAAAGTCACTTGTGTTAAACATTATCTTTATTAAACATCGTTTTCTCCCAAAAATAGCAAATTATTATTCAACTGTGAATGCAACACAGACAACCCTAGATAATCTGAAAAATAGTACGAATTTCAAATATTATGAAGAAATATAATTTTTATGAGTTTTAGTTAAAAATTAGATCAGGTTATCAGTTGTATTGCACAGGAGACTGCCTGTTAGCTTCGTTTCATTTCTTATTTTTATGCAGCGGGCGGCGACAAAAGCTGCTTTTGCAATTTTCCCAGGCGGCGTGCGATACTAAGCTAATTCTTTGCTACAAAGGCGCTTCATGCAAATTACGTGAAAATTAGGCAATGCCCTGAAAATGATTTAAAGACAATCGTCCACTAGAAAATACCAAAATATTTGAATTTTGTTACGTTTCCAATGCAGTACATCGCACAGTTTATTTGTTAACTCATTACGTCAATGTGATAAAATATATTACATAAATC